ATGGGTCCCACCACCCTGCTGGGATGGTGCCCATGACACACCGAGATGGGTCCCACCACCCTGCTGGGATGGTGCCCATGACCCACTGGGATGGGTCCCACCATTCTGCTGATATGGGTCCCACCACCCTGCTGGGATGGTGCCCGTGACCCACCAGGATGGATCCTACCACCTTGCTGAGACAGTGCCCCCCACCCCATCCACAGGGCACACTGTGGGGTACCCGTCGGCACGAGGGGTGCCCCATGCCCGCACCCACGTGTCGCCCATGTCCCCGCAGAGGTGCTGCTGAAGGTGCAGGTGTACGAGAGTGGGACGCTGGCCCCGCTGCCCCAGGCCACCCTGGAGGTCTTCGGCAACCGCAGCTCGCTGGCGGCCGGCACCACTGACCACGAGGGCACCGGCATCCTGCCCGTCCCCTACCGCCTGGGCACCTGGGTCCTCGTCACCGCCACCCGCCGCGGCTACGTCACCGCCTCCGTCCCCTGGCGTGTCAACAAGCTGCCGCGTGAGTGACCGGGACCCCCAGCCCTTATGGGGGACCCCAACGCCTTACCAGGGGGACTCTGAACGCTTATGGGGGGACCCCAAACCTTTACTGGGGGACCCCTGCTGCCTCGCTGGGTGACTCATATGGAGGGTCCCCAGTCTTGTCCTGGGGAGCCCCAACCCCTTACTGGGGGGCTCTGAGCCCTTATGGGGGACCCTGAGTCTTCACTGTGGGAGTCTGTTCCTTACGAGGGACTCCGATCTCTTACAGGGGCCCTGACCCCTTACTGGGGGAACTGGTCCCTTACTGGGGGCCTCAACCCCTTATGGGGGGGCCCAAGCCCTTCATGTGGTCCCTCATTCCTCCCTTACTGGGCGGGGGAGGCTCCAATCTCTTACTGGGAGCCTTTGGTCTCTTCCTGGGGACCCCCAATCCCTTCCTGGGGACCCCAGTACTTTCCTGGGGCCCCAGTCCCTTCCTGGGGACCCCAGTACTTTCCTGGGGCCCCAGTCCCTTCCTGGGGACCCCAAAGGGATTTTGGGGAGGACAGTCCCTTATTGAGGGGTGTTTGAGGGCATCCAGCCCCTTTGGGAGGGGACAGCCATGTCCTGGTGGCCCCGAAGTCCCCCCATCCTGGGCTGGGGGGGCCGGGGGGGCACCCTGGGCTGGGTGCCAGCCCTTGTCCCCAGGGCCAGC